CACATGACGTTCTTGCTGCAGCTGCATCTGAAGAGTGCGGGCAATGGCCTCCATGGTGACGTTCTCCTCCAGGTTCGTGCTGTCTGTCATCCCCCCAGGTGAGCTTTCGGCCTGCCTGGTGCGCTTTGGTGGGGAACTACCCACCGGCTCCCCCGGGCTCTCTGCCATGAGGTTGAGCAAGTCTGCTTGATGAAGGCCTGCAGGGTGCATGGGCGGAGAATCATAGACCGGCGTAGGGGAGAGGTCAGGGAGTGATGTGTTCCCCGATGCCATGGCCCTTTCCAGGAGGTTCACAATCTTGATGTCCCTGCCACTAGCACGAACAGGTAGGTGAAGGCGTCCCCCTCCCAGCGTAGGGCTGCGGCGCCAGGTCCCCCAGGTGGTAGTAGGTGCGTAGTGCCGCCGGTCCCCTGCTCGTGGAGGTTTGGCAAAATTCCGAAGGAAGAGCTCAATGATGCCGTTGGGTTTTGTCCCCTCCTATGTCGCGGCGCAGGACCCCCTCGGTGTAGACGCGTAGTCCCTGCCACCTGCGTGCCCTTGTGGACGATGGCCCGGATCTCTCTCTCGGCACGCCCGGGTTTTCAGCCCCCTGTGGATTACTAAGTTTGGGGCTCGGGGCTTGAGCACTCGCGGCTTGAGCCAAAATCTCTCTCTCTCTCTCTCTACCAGGCATAGGGGTCGGGGCAGGTCAAGCCCCTCCCCCTGCACGCGAACGCGCACCTGCGGTCCTTGGCAGGCATGGGCTTCCTGGTGGGGGGTTGGCCCCCCCAGGCTTGGCTGCACATTGAAGGGCCATGAAAGGAAAAGGTCCCCTCTCTCTCTCTCTCTCTTTCTCCCCAGGGCATAGGGGGCGGGCCAAACCCCCCGGCCTTTTGGCCCTCTCTCTCTCCCTCTCTCTCGCTCGAAAAAGTGTCGTTTGAAAGACGCTTGCGGTCTTTTGTGCATCATTTCTTGCATGCCCATGCGCCGACAGCTGCATGGCTGCATGGCTAACATCAAAACCCAGCCCTGCACCTCATAGTCGACACTGCGGCGATGGAATCTCTCAGGCAATCGGTCGCTGACCTTTCTACCTTGGTTGCGACACACGATGAAGTTTTTCGTTAATTCACCACGGTTTGGATGTGTCGAAGATGAAAGACATCTTGGACGTTCAGGAGGCATAAAACTGTCCTTTGGGCAATGGCATGTCGCTAGTGGCATCACTGGTTTGGGCAGGGAATCGCACCGTCAATTTGAATTCCAGCTTGGGGCAAAGCGAAAAGCTCAGGCTCAAGGAGACAGTCCATGGTACTGTCAGCTGTGGGCACCAGCACTAGAAGGCTGAGGCGGTGCCGCCGAGACAGGTGTCGGACGGTGTGGGAAATTAGCGTGGGCCAGAACGCCCGAATCCTGAGATGCCTTGACTTGACACCCCAACTGCCCACTACCGCCTCCCCTGAGCGAGGTGCAGCAAATCATGATGGCCGAGGAGAGAACGGAGATCACCAGAACTCGGCGTCGGCTCATGTGAGAAGATTCTTGTCTAGGCAACACTGCAAAGGTACAGGTACACCTTGCCCGGATGCAATGCAATGGACTGATTCTCCCTGGCTTCCGCAGGTTTGAGCAGACCCGCGCCGCAATGCACACGGCCTACGCGGAAACCGACCGATAGCCAAGGCCAGAACTGGCAGCAACGATGCCAATCGGCACAATGAAGTTGGTGATGTTCCTCTGCATATCTCGTTCTGCTTTCTCAAGTTACTGTCAGGACTTCTCGCAGCTGAGACGAAGAATCTCCTCCTCCAATTAAAAAAAGCCCCCCCATGACATGAAACATTATGTATGGAATGCTCTCAAGCAAGTAAGAGGGCTGGTACTGCACAGTTCAGCACTCACAACTGGGAACAAGCCTGGCGAGGTCTTATTAAGCTACTGTAAGCTAGTGTATGCTAGTGTACAACTAAGGCCTACGATATTAGGGGGAGCCTGGGGTCGCTCAAGGGCAGAGTAGTAGAGGAATGGGGGACGTAACACTCATCACGACCATCACTTAAGCTGAACACTTTGCTCCAGTTGTAACAGAAACCTTTGATGTGAATGCCCCGAAGAAGGCAGTTTCAACAGGCCTCTCTCGCTCTCTCTCTCTCTCTCTCTCTCTCTCTCTCTCTAAGTCTATCAGGCTCGGGGAAAGCACTGCAGGCTGCAGAAACCGCAGGAACGGAGGACTCCATGTGGCCTGCCATACCAAAGAAATCACGGACAACAAACACATTCGCGGAAGCACGCGCACACACACACACACATGGCAGGCACGGATTCAGGCGGCAAGTCCAACTAAGCCAGTAACGTCTACCAGAAGCAAGTAGGAACATGTCAGAACCTGAAGCCATAGACCACCCGGCATTGATCAAATGCTTTCGCACGACACCAGCGAGGAGACCGCTGAGACAGCGAGAGCACGCCAACAACAACAAAAGCCAAGATTCATAGGCTAAGGTACAGATAGGACAGGTGTTCAGTGGGCGCCCCAGCAAGCTCGCAGGGGCTAGGGCTACAGGTTGTACGTATGACAACGCAGGCTGTAGCCTTTTTGAATCTCCACATTAAGCGAACTTCCACAAGCACCGATTGCTGCGAGAATCTGGGAAAGCCTTCAAACAAAGACCTTCGCTTGTACTGGAGACGCCATTCAGGCAGCCTACGAACTACGGAAAATAATGCTCAGCGTTGGAAGTGGAGGGGCTTTGACAATAGGGGGCCCCATCAACAATGTTCTAACTTGTTCTAGTCTGACTAGGTGAACCTAGGAGACGAGCACATACCCCGCAAGACTTGAGCTCAGGGCTGACGGCCCTTATGTCGTCAAAGGCACGGCGGGGTGTAGGTTCGCACGGCTTTGGCCCTTGCCGGGTCGATGTCGTCCACCCTTAGGTTGCACGGCTTTGCACTTGGGGGCAGGGTGGCCGAACGCTGCGTGAAGCGGCTCTTATTTTGTTGCAACCAACCACCCCTCACACCCCCTTAGACGGGTTGGTGCAATACTGATTTCGTCGATTTCGTGCTGTGCTGCCTCATTTTTTGGAAGCCCAGTAAGTGCGGCGTATCACTGAGCTGTAGTGGCATACTCTTACGGCATGCTTAATCGCAGCCACCCGCTTCTGGCAGTGGACCGTGCAGGCCTTCATGATTTAGAACCAAGCCGAGCTGCAAGTAAAGGCAATTCCAGCCATTGCCTGGACAGTCTGTGCCTGAGGGGCAGGCTCCGGACGTTTCTAATTGGTGGAGAACACAGAGCAATGTGCATGCAGAACTTTGGACATGCGGGATTAGACTATCTTTGCTGCTATGACTACTTCGAGTATCACCTATTCCTTCTCAGGATTGATTACATGGCCAAACATCGGATGATTTGGGCTAAGTCCTCCCGCCAGGTTGCCGTCGAAAGCCGTGGCTCCAAGGAGCTGCAGGTTGTCGCAGAAAATCTTCGCAGATACCAGGCACGACAATGACAACATGCGCCGCATGAGGCGAAAAACATATTGCATTTTCTGTCTTTGCGCAGGAGGGGGGCTGTACTCCGCAGTTGCAGTAACGGAGCCAGTTTTGTGCTATCTAAGGCATTTCTACAGCATTTGCAAAGATTTGGACTTCCACCACCAGACGGATTCAAAAGAATCGACCTTTTCGAGAGCCGAACCTCACAGCAGTCATTAGCCCGCCTCTGTAGTGGGCTCCATCAAGCTGCAGCAACCCCCTACCTGCCCAGCTGCTTCGCCTTGCTCTATCAGGAATTCGGGGAGTCAGTGGCTGCAGGAGATTTGGGGTTCGCGACACGAGCAATCGGGAAGCCGCAAGGAAACAGCAATTGCTTGTCCTTGATGGTGCTCCTTGAAGAACAAGGGATCGCTTCTTGGGCGCGGTCACCCTAAAGAAAGTAATTGAGTAGTGTTGAGGGTTGAATAGAATCAGGGTCCCGTGTTTTCTCAAGCTCCTGTACAATACAGTGCTGCTCCGCGTCTCCTTCGTCAACCCTGGAAGCTCAGGCCCTTCACCTGCGCCTGGAAGGCTTATTGCGGGGCAAGGCACCTTCCCTCTCGTTGCAGCATTTCCTCGGATGCTCTAGTGTTCGGCACCATGATGCCATTCCATCATGACTTTCATTTGTCGCCATCTACTCTAGAAGCTTCCGCGTCACCCTGATCTATGAACTGTACCACATGCGAAATATCGGACCCTTGTGTTCCACAAGATAGCACAACCACATTCATGCAGCCGTCGCTTCCACCCTTTGCTAAACTCAGCAGGTATTTATGGAAGGAAATTGCCTGAAAGGACAGCATGTCTCTTGCACCGGTATTGTGGCAAAGGCGCAGCCTGTCGCCCAGGTAAGCAGCCTTCCACAGGCTCACTTCCAAACATTTGGTAAGCGGCTCTTGGGCGAAACATAGTCCTTATACTGCCCTAGTAGGGACGATGCAGAGAAATTGCTGCCAGATCCCCCGGGCCCGGCTCTGCAAAGGAACATGTCTCTGCCCTGCGTCTCTACCCACGGAAAAGAGTTCGGCTTGGGACTTGGGACCCCCACAACCGGAGCTTGAAGGACACTGATATCTACAACTTCTTAAGGCAAAGCCGCATAGCTATTGCCACCCATCTCTGTCTTGTAGGACACGGGAAGGTACCTGAACAAACTGAGAGGGCTAGGCTCGAACTAGCTACTGAGCAAATCTGAGCGTGTCCAGTCACAAGCTGTGTGACTTGTCGGCTTAGTTTCCGACCAGTTCTGCATTGTGTAGAACCTGGCGTCTCTCTGAAGGAAATGTGCACTGGGCTTCGGACTTGGAGTTCCAAACTTTGGTGAGCTCTCCAGGCCAACAGGACAGGCAAGGATGACAGTTAGACACATGACCTGAAGCATGAAACTATCAAGAGCTGCGAGCATCAGCATAGCAGCATAGTGAGACGTGATCATATGTATCCGCATATGCGCCTACTTACATGCGTAGTACATACATACATACATACATACATACATACATACATACATACATACATACATACATACATACATACATATATATATATACATATTTATAATTAAGCTATCTCTATCTATCTATATATATATACACACACACACACTCACACATATTATGTACACATGCTTTCGCAATTTCGCCTGTCACGTCGTATACTTCTCGCGAGACCTCTGCACAACTGCTCTAGGACCAGGAGAAGTCTACGACCCCACAAAAACCATTCCAACTGGACTACAGAAGTCGCCGTCTTTCCTGCCAGGATCATTCGAGAGGAGATTCGCCTTATTTACTTTTGCAGTACAAACGTCGACTCTCGAGCCACGACCACTCGGGAAGCGTCCACTCCAGGATCGATCGTGCGATACAACTGCACACTTAAGTTTACAGCCAGAACCATCAAGTTGCAACCCGTGGTGTGGGAGACTCTGGATCATATGACTTGCTCGAGCTGCCAAAGCATTGGCTTGAGTCCCATGGCAGCCGAAACCCTTCTGGCTTCGAAGACCCAACTTACTCGAGAACTGCAACCTCAATTCCTGTCGAGTCCCTTAATTACAAGTCTCATTCAAGATCCGGCCTGAGGCGTCCATCCAAGCTGCCACGAACCTGACAAGAAGTCTCTGGTGACTTCTGTCTCCACGGCATGCACTTGGACTGCGTCCCAGGTCCAAAATCGTCCTAGTCACAGCCGGCTGGGATCCCGTGGAATCACTCAAGATGCCGAAGGCAGCCGCTCTTCCGACCGATTGTTTATACAAATTTCGTGCCAGCCTGCAAACGTCCCACCACTGCAGCTGCCCTCTGGCATTGAAGTGTTTGCTCCACACGAGTGCATGTGGCACCTCCAAGTCCACAGCACAGCGCGTGGTCGTCTGTTCGCGGCAGGTGATGTTGGTGAACCTGGGCATGGTAAACTCTTCTGCTCAACAGGAGCGTCTCCTGTTGCCACCGGTGGAATAATGCAGAAACGCTCACCCGCCTCGGCAACCAGATTGCTGCTGCCAGGATGCATCGAGATCGAGCAAGTGCCTTCGCTCCAGCCCCCGGCTGCTGTCTCCAGCGTCCATAGAAGCGCTCCACATCTTGGGGCAAGTGACAAAGATGCAGGTGCGTTTGGCGACTGGCTGGTTCGGTGAGTGTACGTCGAGTTGGCGTGGCCTGCGGCAGAACGCTCGGAAAATGGTGCTCAACGAGACTCGTTGCAGCAGAGAAGCATCGCGAGCTCCAAGAAGCAGAGAGAGGACAGCCAGATCCGCAAGATCGACTTGCGCCCCACTCTCCGCACCACCTGAAAAAGGGCTTTGTCGCTTTGTGGCTGGTGTAGCTTGCGCGGAGATTGGCGCTTGCAAGGCGGGCCTGCTCTTCCTCGGGAGCTTGCAGCGCCATCTCCAGCCTCGAAGAGCGACCCCGAAACCTGTCCACTCCCTGAATGTCTGGTCAAAGGCTCAAAGCTTGACTAACCCTACAAACGATCGCATAGCAGAAGGGCTCCAAAGTGAACGACCCGTCGCTATCTCAAGCTGCAGCTATGGCGGCAGATCGGTGGCTTTCATGGCTTCGGACAGCGTCAGGCCCGCATTTCGCAAGCTCTCGAACTTGTTCGGCGTATGAGACAGCGCCTGCAGGGACTGCGGGTTGGGGAGTGCACCGGTCGACCTGCACGGGGTCTATGCCTCGCAGACCCCAAAGAATCATTGAGCGCCTGTACCAGGATGCCGAAGCCGGCCCTTCACTCAAGTTAGACTGCTCCAGAGCACCCTGAAAGCTAACCTCGTAACCTCGGCATGAGAACGGCCACTTCCGAGCTCTAAGGGCTCTAGGCGGCTAGGCCCGACCACCACCTTACTCAAAGAAGCCCAAGACCTCTTCCCTCTGACGGTTGAAGCTCTTTTCATGCCCCACGGCCCACTGCCTTCAGAATCCTCAGCATGGCCGGATGGTGCAGACTTGGGTCTTGGGCTTGTAGGTCGGGGGTGGAAATGCAGACGGTTAGTCCTGGATTGTTGGATTGTCTCCATGGGAACTCAAGCACAGCGGAATCCAATCCGTTCATGCATACCCAAATGCCTCGATTCTTTCAAAGCCTGCTGCAACAAATTCAGATGCAAGCGGGTGACGCTGTGCTGCTGGCATTTCCGGGCACCTTGAACGCCTCCATAAGCGCTCGGGTACAATCGCTTGGACGCGCTTCGCAGAAATTCTTCAGATATCTTGCAGATATTGGACAGGTTCTTGAGGCAACGGAGAGTGAGAAGAAGGCCCGGCAAAAGAAACCAGCAAGGAACCTCCCGGATGTGAGGGTGTCTTCGGAGGATGCTGATCAGCTCCTCGCGCGCTGCAACCTCGCAGGGGTGGAAGGCTTCCGGCTGCTGGAGCTCCCACTTTCACTTTCACAATCCTTCTCAGAGTGTAGAGGCACCTTTTTTGGGGGACCTTGAGGAACGGTACAAACTCCGTGCCCCCAGTTCTCAGACATGTGTGGTTGGGGGAGGCACGGTACAGTGCGGTTGATCTGAGCACCACGACCACAGCTGGAAGGGCAAGTGCCGCAATGCTAAACGCAGCCGGGACGCGAGCGTCTCTTCACTCTCCTCCTGCTCGCTCGCCTTCATTAATTGCGGAGGTCTGGTTCTACAAGAACTAGCAGACTGGCCAAAAGGCCTCTAGGTTGCTACCAATACACCAGGTGACATCGAAAGGTCAACGACGACAGGTGCCGCACAGAGAAAAAATACAATGGGTGTGGCTGGTCCGTGCATCGCAAAGCCCGGGGTACCAGTCGGGCACGGCCTACTGTGGGAAAAGCGAATTCGATACTGTTTGTATCCAAGCGGCTGAGAAGGAGGCCGTCGCCGAGACAACCTGTGACTTCCTGCGGCGTGGCTGACAAACGTTACCAACATGTGCAATGAAACGAGCGGGGAGAGTGATCAAGCGCGGGTGCAGAATTGAAAAACAGCCCCACAACCAAATACGGCACCAAACCCAAAGGAAACAAACATGAAAGGCCGTGCACTGCCATATGCAAAGACGCATAGCAACATGCCCGGCCTGGTTCCAACCTCCATCACCTACGCCATTGGAATAACTGGGGCGGGTCTTCTGCCGCTCCCGACATTCGTTGCAAACTTAGGGCATGGTGTTTCGAATTTGTGCTTTTTGGCATGGTGTTGGGCTTGCTTGGTATCGAGTGATCCATGCCGAGCTTATTCGTGCAGACATTCCGAGCGCGAGTGTGCCAATCCAGGTAACATCATCGGAGCATGAAGAACAGCATAACCACAAGTAAAGGTTTCCCACTTGCAAAGCGATGTTCATAATTTACTGGCATGGCCATGTCTTCGGCCCGGGTCGTGCAAGTGAAACAAGATCGCTGGAGGCAGAACACACGACATCACTCGGCGGAGGCAGAACACGCGACATCACTCGGCATAAGCATATGCCAAATTGTAAGTGTGTTTGCCAAGCACCTGGCTTTCGAAGCGGGCAACCCTGGACATCCCTAAATCCTCAAAAATCTTGCAGTACAGGCAATCAGCAATGAGACAGGCCACAATGCTCTTGCTCCTCCCACTACCCCCTGCTGCTGTTGCTGAATGCTGGCGCCGGTGCTAGTTGATGTTACTGATAATACCTGTACTGGTTGACAATCATCTGAATCGGAACAGAGCAGCAGTAAGCCTGTTGATGGAAGTAACCACATGTAGAGCAGGCGCTGTATCTGATTGCACTATGCTCTCGTCACAACCTTGCCCTTCCCAACACTGCGCAGGTTCTTGCCATCACTGCTATGTACTATTACTATTCTGGCTGTCATTATGCTGTGAGTTAGCGCTGAACTACATCACTTGCTACACCCGTGCTCAGCATAATGCTGATGATAACCACCATCACCACCAGAATGAAACATGATGGTCCCCGGATCCCCAAATCTGGAGCCACGGCTTGGCTGCTGCACAGTCGGCCCGGCACTCGTGGGAACCACTGGCACCTGCAAGGTTTATTTAAGGATGATGAGGCTTTCACAACTTGCCGAACCCGCGATGCTGTCCAATGGGCGGCATGCTCGCACAAAGGATTTGGAACGGACAGCGGACAGCAAGAAGGAATCTGTGAATTGCTAAACAGGTCCACATGATCAAAGAAGTGCAGCCTAAGGCCCGCACGATGGGCGTCGACATGCTTGAACTGACCTTGCTGCCCAATGCGAAATGCTCATGCCAACCCTTCCACATCTTGTACCATGTCGAGGCAATGGCCGAACTCCTCATTCGACATGCCCCAAGAGGGGCATCTGGAGAAGCAGGAAGGTGTCGATTCTTGCTGTCGCTGCCAGATCCCTGAGCCAGAAGCCGCCCTTGGAAGATGAACTGAAAGACAAACGTCTGGGCTCTGGGCGATGCTGCCATAAGAGCTCGTCAACCCCCTCCGACGGCAATGTGAGACGTAGGCAAAGGGGAAATAACAGGAAACTCCCGGCAAAGCGGTTGCGATAATTAAGCACGATGTAGACTGAAACATCGGCAGGGTCATGAGAATCTCACTCGAGTCAGACTGCAGACTGCAGTTGGATTGCACAAAGCTGCTGCGCTGCTAGTTGAAAGACGACAGTACACATTCCGGCTCCAGAACAACTCCTACATCACCCAAGCGAGAAAGAAAGGTTGCCACTTTCATTGCACACCACGTAACAAACCCAACTGCACTGCAGGTGCCTCCAGCTCGGCGGAAGCTGCAGGCCGTCCTCTGGTCCCAACGCATACCCTATCTGCCTGGAACAACTACTCAGCAGGCATCAGTGGTGGTCGTATAGCACGGATACAAGTCTCAAGCACTCATGGCATTCCATCGGATGCCGGGACTCCTGCAAGTCTCTCTGCAATCGAAATAAAACAGAAGTACTTCGGACTAGTTCCTAGTGCGTACATCAAGCCACAGTGAAGACTGAAACTGAAGATAAAGTCGGTCCTGACTCCAGGAAGTCGCCCGCACAGGGCTGCAGCAGCGGGCTGGCGTCAGCACCTCACAGAAACCGGGAGAGCCCGGACAAAGCCAATGCCGAGAGCCGCAGGCACCTGCACCGTGCGCGCTGGAGAGCAGATGCGAGGAGCGCCTCAGACTTCGGCAACATCAAAGAGCACGAGCAACTCACACGCCAAAAAAACAACTGCATATGTATGCATGCATCTTTCTGTCTGTTATCAGTACATGAAATTAATATCTATCTTTATCTACACGTCTATAAATGTGAAATTGTATCTATGTGTCTTTGTTTCTGGGTGCTTGTACGTGTAGTTATATATAAATATGTGTGTGTACATACATATATATATACACACATTCGTTTTGGTTATGTTTATCTATTTTTTATTTGTTTGTTTAATTAGTTAGTGAGTTGGTGAGTTGGTTTAGTTAGTTAATCAGTTCGGTAGCTAGCTGGTTAGTTAGTCAGTCAGTTAGTTAGTCAGTTAGTTAGTTAGTCAGTTAGTTAGTCAGTCAGTTAGTTAGTTAGTTCGTCAGATAACTTCGTTAGGCAGTTCGTTAGTTAGAAAACAATTAGCCTGCTAGCCAGTTATCTGGCGTCTTAGTTAAGCGTAGTAGGTTAGTTTTGAGCACTCGCACTCGACCAAGTCAGGTTAAATTAGTTAGCTAGTTAGCTAGCTAGCTAGCTAGCTAGCTAGCTAGCTAGCTAGGTAGTTAGGTAGGTAGGTAGGTAGGTAGGTAAGTAGGTAAGTAGGTAAGTAGGTAAGCGGTTAGTTAGCTAGCTAGTTCAGCTAGTTCTCTGGATAGCTAGTTCGCCAGCTGGTTAGAAAGAAAGATAGTTAGTCGGGTAGTTCTGTATTTATGTGTTTAGTTGTTGGCTTGCTTGTTCGATTATTCGAACAATTTCCTGATTGTTTATGCGCACTGCTAAAGCGTGAGAAAGGAAGGGAGACAGAAAGAGGGAGAGAGAGTGAGAGACAGAGCGAGACAAAGGGAGTGAGAGAAAGGGACAGAGTGAGAGATAGGGGCAGAGAGCGAGAGATGATACCACACAGGACCGCGCATGCGGTTTGCCTGCCTGCCTGCCTCCCTACCTGCATGGCGCAAGTATGCACGTACGGATGCATGTAGTCATGCACACCCGTATGCATGTATATGTAAATGCATATGCATATGTATATGTATGTATGCATGTATGCATGCTTGTGTGATTATGTCTCTTTGCATGGACCTATGCATGCATGCATGTGTACGCGTCTACGTTTTTATGCGTCCACGCATGCATGTATGTGCGTACGCATGCATGGATGCATGCATGCATGCATGACGAGTATAATATGCAGATATACGTATAAAACAGAAGATAGATATACAGATAGAAAAAGTAGGTCGATAGACAGCTAGATCGATAGATCGATGGGAGGCATAGAGAGGACAGAAAGACAGATAGATAGAAAGACGCCACCACTAGTACATCAATTGGCAGGGTCGGTCTTCGCATCTGGGCCTTGCTCTCTATCTGTACCTTTTTGGTCAAAGTCTTGGGTCTCCAACTCTGTCTCAACATCCGCCGTCGGGAAGCTGAACACTGCCACTCTTGTAGCCCCTCGGGGCATGACGCCGAACGCAGGTGACTACCACTGCACACGGCATTAGGGAACTAGTCCTGTTGATAGCAGCAGATCGGACTAACTCAGGCGAAACAAATGCCAAGACAATATGCTTGGTTGGATGGCGACAAGGTAAGCATGTCATGGTGCGGCTATGTGCTCGCCGTGCTCGCTCAGGTATACATTTGGGCTCACAATTCGTAGTTCAGCATCGAAAACGGCCGACAACCCTGTGCTTGGATTGATTTCAAAATCGTTTTGGTGCTTCTCTTGTGTTTGCATGTTGCGCGTTCTTTTCTATTGTGTCCTTTATCTTATTGAGAGGGTTCTATGTCTTACTGTGCCTGCAGCCGCTGTCCAAGTCCAGATGTGTTTTTCAACCCGCGCCCGCGTCTGAATGACTGCCAGGAGGCTTCCACCGAAGCTGCAGTCAACGCTGTCGAAGGTGTCCGAGGTCCTGCACGCTGCACACCGTCTATGGCACGCAACCTCACGGCTGAGAGCCGCCTGCTGCGAATGAACTGCGGCCTGACTCCGCAAAACTTGTTCAAGTGACCGCCTTTAGCTGGAAGGGCACGCCTGCTATCGGTGCCCGTCCTCTTCACTGCATCGAGGCCGGTTCCCGGAACGGTTGCAGTGCGCAAGACCGATGCCTGAAACAAGATTCTGGCAGTAGCAAGAGTTTCGCACAACACCAGCCCGACTACATCTGAACTACGGTGCCAGAGCATGTGCTCACCAAACATGAAACTCAAGCCACCATGCGGCACGTTTGAGAAGGCTATAGTGGCACCACCCCTATCTGTCACATGTCATTCAGTGTCGAAGCTGAGGTTGTACAGACCCTCTGATGCTAAGGTAATTGTCTGAGCTAGAACCTGATGGGGGTCGGTTATGGGACTGCAGCACATGGTTTCATGCCTGATGCAACGGGTAGACTTGGCAAGTCAGTACAGCGACTTGACGTGCCAGCATAAGAACGGCATCAGCAGCAAAACGTCATGCCTGCGATGGCAGGGCATAGCCCGGCGGAAATGCCATGGCTTTCGACTCTTGTGGTCGACTTAGAGTCGGGACATGGCGAGGTTGGGTGCTTGAAGACCTTGCAGGCTTTGCTTCTTATGCTGGCGGCTTGGGTGGTGTGTGCACGAGTCAGACTGGATTCAGCGCTTCAGGGTCCGTGTGTTTCGGGTGAAGGCCTGCAGGCCGTGAGGACGTTGCGTGAATGGAACCATGCGCTAACTTGAAGCTTAAGCATGGCAGCAAGCCAATGAGTGCCCTAGACCCCGCGACTACCCTGTCCACTGCAAGACATTGCACATCCAATGTACCTGCGTCAGCACCTTACCTGTGCCTGTCACGGTCGGTCTGGTCACGAGAGGCGGGGAAAACTTGGTCACAGGACAGGATGTCGTGTGGCCCGGATGAGCTGACACGCTGCTGAGATTGACTTCAGTCAGCCCGAGCGATGCTAATCCCGGGCGCTTTATGGCCAGGTTCTGTCAGGCTTGTGCTGCACAGTGAAACACGATCGGCTCACGGTTTTGTTCGGGAGTGATTGGCGCATGCATTCACAATGCCGGCTGCTCGGCCCATCGCTGCTCCTTCTAGTAGGCGCTGTACTTATGCAGGCTGTTGCCCGAGGCCGAGATCCCTTTGTGCAGGCACCGCCAAACGTCTTGTCCAGGAGACCGGAAGTTCATGATGCGTCAGTCCACACATGTCCACACATAGCTTCAGGACAGTGTAGGACGTCTTCATGATGGCAGCTCCCGGCAGCTGAAGCGGAAGAAGGGCACCAGGGAGGGAACAAGGAAGGTACCACTGGTCTGGTCGCCCTTAGCTTCCGGGGTCTGTGCATTGAGAGGGTCTCAGATCCAGGGAACCTTAAACCCTGCTGGGTCCTGTCCAGGTAATGAAGGGTGAGAAGCCCACACAGTCGGACGAGATGGGCGGTAAGGCCTAGACCCAAAACACCCCAAGCAACAGGAGATGCTTCAACTCATAAGGGGCGATAAACCCCGAACCGTGATTAGGATCCCCAAACCGTAGCATGGTTATGACGGGTGGCGAAGGGTGGCAATAATACGAAACTCTACGAGGGGCAGCTGTTTCCCCAGCCAAAGCCTGATAAGCGAGACGGTCCCTTCTTAAGCAAGTTCAAAAGTTCTGACATCCTGCCCCGACAACGAAAACGGAACCAATGCCTGTGGCAGAAGCCCTTAGAAACGGCTGTGGTCCAACGCATGCGGAAGTGCAAAAGCCCGTTTAAAAGTCTGCTTAAAAACATGAGCTCGTCCGTTCCTGAACTCCTTTGTCTGAGGGCCTCAGGCTCGAAGAACATGAACCAGTCTGATCCGCTGCTGAGGATCTGCCCGAATCATCTTGCTTCAGCCAGATGCGGCTAGATCTCGCAGATGATCCAGGGCCTCACGCATGCAGGTCCAGTCGCTGCTCGGATGCGGGCCATTCCCCGAATGTAACTGTCGCCACAACTAGAAGCAAGCGGATGGCCAAGGCCAGCAAAGGTTGTATGTATGAAGCAGTATACGTCACTCTCTGCTATTGACACCCCAAGCGCAGATGTGTGTGAGCTGGTGCAGGCGTCCAGCTTTGACTGGCCAGAATCTATCGAGCTCGGCCCTCCACAGCCCTAGATCCGAATGACCGTCATAAAACTTCCAGATTGCTTCGGCACAGGATGCAAGAAGCCCGCACCTCCTGCAGGTCAGCCGGAAGGGGCGCCTCAGCGGTGAAGGGGCGGCCGGCTGCATCCTGCAAAGTGACCTGGCCGGGCTTTCGGAATAGGCTCAAGCTATTGGTCTCGTCCGTCCATTCTTTTGCGGAGGGCAGGTGGTCTGGGACTTATGCGGGTCGCTGAACTATATGATTCGCCGAGGCACCTTTCGACAGTGGAGGAAAAGGCGGGGGCACCAAGATGGGTCGAAGCCTGAGAACGCACACGCAGAATTGCATGTACCCACATCCATCCATCCATCCATCCATCCATCCATCCATCCATAGATACATACAGTCATGAATTCATGCAGGCCTATATCCACACGTAAACACCTACATACCTAAATGCAGACATGCGTCGTAAATCTGCATATGTACATGTACGATATCCAGTAATGCAGATGAGAGCGAGATACCGAGAATGACCATGAGAAGGAAGGAGAAGATGCACTGCAATTGCCAATACGAGAAATGGCAGGCTGTTGTTTTCTTCTGCGTATCGGCAGGCATCGAAGCGCTGGTCATGGGGATAATGTCGTTACTAGATGGAGCAGGGAATATTCTTCTCTGGTTCACACGTGTCCAGGCTGGGGTGCATGCCGCTGATTCCTGATCATGCACCGCTCGGCCAGTCAAGGTTGTCAGTTGCTTCTGCATGCTAGAAAGGAGCCCCGAAAACAACGCCAAGATTTAGAAAACATGGCTGACGCAGTGCCGACTGCCCGTGCATCTGCATCTTCGAAATGTACGGGCACTAGTCACTAGTCTATGACTCAACGGTTCAGGAAGAGCATGTGCCAGGTGCCTCCGTATGTGCGGTCGCACAGGATCGGGCGCCCAATGCCCGCAAGGTGCGCTCGGATTTGGTGTGTCCGCCCGGTGTGCCTTGCTGAGAGCTCGAATTGCTCGAATGGAGAAAAGCAGTCTGCTCAGCGCTTGATTGCACGGCGAGGCACGGCTCTGCTTTCAGCAGCATCAAAGTTTGCAGCGGTGAGGTGAAGGTGTGCAGTACTTCGTGCTCCGTCCTTGCCTCCGCAGTCTGCAAAGGATGCTGGACCTTGCTGCCCTTGCTGGCCTCTTTCCCAGCAGACGACCAGACGGTCTTCATGGCCTGGGATGCGGGTTTCTGGAGCTGTGGGGCTTTGGCAAGTTGAGGTTCCTGGAAGCCCACATCTTAAGCAGCACGCATTGCAAGCCCTTCTTACGCGATGTGAGCCGGTCCACCAAAATGTTCAAGCCGAACTTCCGAACTCCACATCCGGGAAATCAAAGCCGCTCCAATTGAACTAGTGGCGGACTTTTCGGTCGATGGGCCGCTGGCCAATGGCGCCACCTGACACGGTGTGCATCGCAAGCAGACTAAACTTCAAAGTGCTTCCAGCAGGCCTGCAGTATGACACTTGAAAAGCCTAGGGGTTCTCGCGCCCAATAGCATGGATCGAAGCCCGAACTCTGGCGAAAACAACCAAATCTGGTCAGGCGGACCCATGCTGAAACTGCTTGATGCTTCCAAGCCACGATGACACCCCGCATGCCTTCCGCTAAGGGTTTCCCCGAGCACACGAGCAAGTATTGTTTCACCACCTGCGAGCTCGGCAGGCAAGGGGTGCAGTCTGCACCAAAACATGTACCACGATTCCGCTTAGCATATGGACTGCGATTTTCTTTCAGGAAGCTTTGATTTTGATTGCATCATGCACTCATGAACAACATTGACTTGGTAGACACACGAAGATGTCCTCCAGTTCGAAACCAAACCGAATTTGCCTCGCATCGAAGACTCTAAGTGAAATGGTGAAAGCCCGCCAGCGTCTTACTGATGTTTGTGCGTGTACATGTAGATAGATAGATAGATAGATAGAAATAGATAGATAGATAGATAGACA